CACCATTGGGTTCTTCATGTCTATTACGGGCCAGGCACTCTCCAGAGAAACATATTATATTTAAGATAACAAAAATAACTCATTAGAATTAATTTAAAAAATGAGGCTCTCTATGTAGAATATATGTCTTCAGTGTATCAAACATTCAGGAAAGGGGTCTGATGAGGACCCAGCCTCTTGTGACCCAGAAGGGGAACAACCCACAGTTCACCTGGAAGCAGGTAGTGGGACACAGCAACCTGAAATATTCCGTCAACTTTCTGCACGCCTGTATTGAAGTGCCCCACTTTCGAAGCAAAGGTGAATCTCCAACAAGCATTCCAGACCATGCTGTTCCTCCCCTCCATGTGCTGTGAGTCTTAAAGGAAGAATTTCTGGTGCATTTTATTTCAACTTAAATTTGTCTCCATGTAGGCATCTTTTCCAAACAAGAAAGAGGCTTTGAAATGCAGCAGGCTGTGTTTGGGATCTGGCCTCTCCAGCATCCTTTTGGTGGTTCCATCTGAGCTGCTTCTTTTGAACTCTTTCTAAACTTGGAAATTAGGATTGTGTGTTAGTTTTTGCTGGATCATAACTGATCTCAGAATTTCAGGTCTGAAATCATGATTCTCCTGTTCATAGGTCAGCTAGTAGTTACAGTCCCCCCACACTGCCCAGGACAAGATGTGATGAGCAGTGTCTGATTCCAGACTGCGGGTTGCTACATATCTTTCCTTACTTTCCTTACACAGAGAGAGTGTCATGAGTATACTCCCCCAGACAACCCCTGGGAGTGAAGGAGCAAACCAAACTACACAGACACTTCAAAAGGCCTAGTTATGTATCCCAAGATTCCAAGGGCCAAAAGTTGAATTATCAAATCTAAAGCCAAGGAGAGAAGTGCTATCACCATGAACCATGGAAGCCATGGAAGTTGTGAAGAGCTGAGACACAACTTGCCATAATCAAAAACCTCTATCTCGAAAGGAATAAACAAGACAAAAATATATAAAGTCTTGTAGAGTAGGAGCCATAAACAAAAACAAACAAATACAAATAAACAAAAAAAAAAAACCCGACAGTGATTCTCTTGGGTTGACAAATCCTTTTTCTTGCAATCAATTCCTATCTACATAGGCTTTTTTTCCTATGAGATGGTGGACATTATTAATCCTTGATGTAGTAGTAGTAATTACTGAAATGCAACCTTGGGCTTATGCTTCTTGTCTCTGCGTGACTTAGCTAATAAAAGCAAGCTCTCAGCTAGGGAACTTGCCCATCGAGCCCCAAAGTTCCTGTTCTGAGCCAATTTCTCCAATGGTTCTAGTATTGTTTAATGTGTCAAAGGTCTCCAAATACCCCTGGGTTGCTACCTAAATTAGAAGTCATTAGTGTTTCTGGAAAAGCGACGACCCCTTCCCTGTCGGCCCACATAGCATTAATGGGAGATGGACAGAGCATGTGACAGTGTCTACTTCCTGCTCATTCACACTGACTGTTTTCCTTCCACTTCCTGTAGGAAGAACCATTCAGTGTGCTGCAGAGAACTGTGTTCTCATGCTCAATGGTGGTCTAAAAGGCACCCTTCTGCTGAGTCCATTGGCATCCCTCTGCTCTAATTACCCTAAAACCGCACTGTCTAAACCATAGGGCATGACAGACCATTTATGTTAGCAGGGACCTGAGGTATCAGACCATCTCAAGCACCGTATGAGCTGAGTCTTGGTGCCTTGGGATTATGTGCTTCAATTCAATGTCAATTCTTTTGCCTCTTGCCTGAACCAAGCATCTGCTCTGGTCTCCCTTTTAGGAACTATAAGAAGGAATTTAAAAGACCTAGTTTGAAACCTGAGAGGCTCAGATGAGCTCATTTACTCCAGGGAAAGTATTTATTGAAGGGTTGTGGGCACCAGGCACTTGCCTCCAGGGTGGATCCCAGACAAAGAGTTGGAGCTCAGTACAAGATTGCCAACGCTATAATCTACATTGACCTGACAGTACTATGTGTGCTGTCTTACAAAAGGTAAAGCCTAAGAACTCATCTACAGGAACAGCTCTCGGAGCGGTGGCAACAGCCAGAAGCTACCCCACCATGCTCATCATGGGGCACCCTGTGTTTTAAAGAGAAGTGAAAGGGAGGCTATGGTGGCTGGCCACATGGAAAACTTGAGACTTGTTTTCTTTCAAGTACAGAAGTGCTTCAGTGTTTTACTAGCTGGTGTGGTGCCACCAGTGATGAGACTGTAATTTAAATCATAAGGATGCGCTTGCCATTTCAAGTCACAAAAGATCCCTCCAATATTTAGCATTTCCCTTTTCTACCTAAATGCTGTCCTGAAGGAGGGACGCTGTGGAATGCATGTTGTCTCCGCTGACCTGTGAAACAGGAAGCCTTGCCTGGGTGGAGCTGGCACTCTTCTTCCAGCTTTGAAATGCATACTCAACAAACTCTCTCTGACCACCTCACGAGGAGACTCAAACAACCCCAGAGTCCATGCTGAGCCCAGTCAGGTATGAAAGACTGCCTGCCTGTTGGTTTGTGCGCTCTACCATCCCAGAAGACTCCCGAGGACTCATGTCCTTAGAGATGACTGAGGTCTTCCTGAATCCTCCGTAGGCACACAGCAAAGTGGGAGGGCAGAAGGGTGTGGGGGGAACAGAGTGGCCACAAGCCCTAGGATTGTGGGGACTAACACAGAAAAGTCAGTTAAAGAGGAAAGGAAGAGCTTCCCTTGCACCCATTCCCATCACAGAGAAACTGGTTAGGGACAGAGCCGGCGCTGGCCAGGTACCCTGCTTTTGCTCAATGGTACTCCTCACCTCCTCCAAAGACTGAGAATTGAGATATAATAGGTGACATATTTCAGCAAATGAAGAACTGTATTACCAATAAGAGGGTGTCGATCAGAAAATCCCTGTGCATATAGTGGAGAGGATTCTTGGAAGAATCACAGCAGATAATGGCACGTTCTCACCTGATGCTGGGTTTGGATTCTCACAGTTCAGCTCGTGTAACAAGCATCTAGTCCTGTCGATCTGGAAAGCTGAAAACTGGAAGAAATGCAGTGCCCTGTGCTAGCTGAGGACTCCTGACTCTCATCCTAGACGCAGGTTGCATCATGCTCCCGTTTCTGTCTCCCCGCTGTGGGAAACGGGCATGTGGGCAAACCAGGACTCGGAGGAGTAAGCCAAGGCAACCTGAGGCAGGCACTCTCAGAAAAGATTTGTGACAAAAGATTCCCCAAAGAATATACAAACAGAGACGCTGAAGACTGTTATCTTAGATGCCAAGAAACAAAAGGAGAAAATCCTGGGGAAAAAATAAAATTAAAAAGAAAAAAGTAAGGAAGAAATCTTTCTAAAAGTTGTGTAATGAAAGCAGGCCAACACTTCAGGGTGAGGCACCTCTCACCTGAGGGCTCTCAAAGCAAATAAGACAGCTGGGACCAAGCCAGATGTCTCCGGTCACGATAAACCTGGCTGCCCGGAGCCCTGAAAGTACTAAAGAGCAGAGCGTTCCCTCACAGTCCGTGGCAGGCCAGCATGATCTGAGCACTCACTCCACTCACACGTGCCTAGCAGATTTGTTTAGGGAGAAGCCATCCAGAGGCCAACAGCAGAGTTCATCTTAATAGCACTGAGGTTTGTGTGCATGTCTAATCATGAGATCAGCGAATTACATGCCTGCTCCGTGGACCGTATGACCTTTGTGGGCTTGTGGAACAATTGAGTGCATTGGGGAGAAACACTCAGCACGGAAAACTTGCTGAGCAGAAAAGCCAAGTGCCAGGGCTCTTGCTCAGGGCAGATGAGCATCAGTAATGAGTGCTGTGTTGCTGAGCGTCTCCTCAGCCTGCGGCACTGAGCTAGGCACTGGGGAGAATTAATCCCCTTCCCCTGCCAAGGCACCATGGAGAAAACAGCACTAACTTCTGTAATGAATGGGCAGCCCTCAACGGAGACCGGAGATGCTGTTGTCAAAGGCAAGTCAGAGTTTGCCAGGGGGGAGAAGATTTGCAGAGGATCATTGCTATGCCACCTGCAGACCTTCAATATTCATAGAATAAAACACACACACACACACACACACACACACACACACACACACACACACAAAGGATCTTGGTCATTTAAAGGCCCAATTAATACCTAATAGCAATTACTTAATAACAATTACTCAAACAAGCAAAATGTCAAGGCGGCCACTGTGAAGAAAGGAAGACCAAAGCAGTATAGCCTGCTCTCCCTTCCTAATGTCCATACCTTTCCCATAACAATGACCTTCACACATGGATACGGTCTGACCACGCGCGCACACACACAAACACACACACACACACACACACACACACACACACACACACACACACACACAGGAGAATCGCCAATCTGTAGAAAGGGAAGGGCTTTGGCAAAGTCCTAAAACTCTGATAACAGGTTACTCTGGAAAATTTTGGGAATGCCAGGAAGTACGTAAGAGTGTTTAGGCAAAAGCCTGTACTCAGCTATGGAAAAGAAATGCTTGATCTTTTCTCACAAAGATCCTCTGGGAACTTAAAATGTATTCGAAAACACAGGAAACTTTCCTTCTCTTACTTAACGCTTCCAGAGAATACAATCTTTGCTAAGGATTTTTCCTCTATTTAGTTATTATTACGTTTAACTTTCCATTCAAGCATCTAAGAAGCAGGTTATGAGTTCACTAGACTCTGAGATCCTCACAGGTCTGCTTGCATTGCTGTTATCTTTCTCCATCAGCACCAAGCTCACAGTGGCTCTCCTTAGATGATTGGTTTTTAGAAAGTCTACCCATATCACACACTCGCATTCACAAAGAGGTATCTGACTCCACAGAGTCACTGACAGTAAGCTGGCGCTGAAGCTTGGCATAGTTAACTCACTGTCTGGAATGAGCCTTAGAGCCATAACAGGGTGCTAGAGTCCACCTTTTCCATACCTGTGGCACCTAGCCATCAATTCAAGAACACTTGTAGAAGCCAGGCACTAGAAATACAGCTTACCTGTGGTCTTTTGGGAATGGGCTCCTATTTTTGAACTACTAGTAACTAAACTTTGGTTCAAAGATCACCTGTCACGGGCTAGAGTGGATGCTAGGCAGTTTTAGCATTATGATGCAGTAGACGTTAACTATGACCTCGAAACAGAAGAGCCCAGTGGAGTGGCTGTAAACTACTACAGCAAAGGAAAACCAGACAGACAGAGTGCGGAGATATTAGGTGAGTGGAAAAGTGGTTGAATGTCTTGGTTTGCAGAGAAGGAAACTGCTCCACTTACCATGGTCAATTATGGATCTGGATCCTGGTCATAGCCTGTCTCCAGAGATCAATGGCCTCACCAGACTGGTAGAGCCATGGATATCAGAAACAGGAAGAAGAGAAAACAAAACTAGCCCTGGCTGACGTGGCAGTAGGACTCTGCAGTCAGCCATCATTACACACAGCTCTCTTGGCTACTCTCTTGTTTTGAACTTTTGTCTCTGTAGTGGGTTAATTGATGTCCAAGCCTTTTTCCCTTGTGAGAAAGCCTGACCAGATGAGATCCAAAGAACCAGGCAGACTTTCTATGTAGAGGAAGTCACAGCAAGAGAATGAATCCTTCGGTCTTACAGCACCAAACACTAGACTACCATATGGTCACAGCAGCCTAGAGGGTTGTCCCTTTGGTTCAGCTTTATCTGAGTTTCTATTTGCTCCGTTTCCCTCCGTCTCAGCCTTTTCTAATTTCCGTCACTCACCTGATATCCTTCCAGTAAAACCCTTTTCTGCTTAAGATAACTGATTTCATTTGAAGTATTTTCAAGGATGTTATTGACTAAAACCATGTACCCCAGTCATGATTTGCTGCACGCTCTACACATGAAAACTGCTCTGGGAAGCTGAGGTTAGAGCTGATGAGTGAGAGATGTTTTCCCTAAAGATTTAGTGAAGGGCTGCTGTGATAAGATCTCCTCTCCACAGAATTGGAAGTCCAAACCCCTACTCATGTCCAGTGTTCTACTTTCACTCAAGTGACACTCTCTCTCAGGAAGCCTTTCTGTGACAGTGGCCTTCTGCAGGCTTAAATTCCCCACCACGAATTCAGTAGAAATGGGAGAAATATCTTCCCCAGAAGTCTGAATGAAAGTCTTAGACTTGAGTCTCTCTGCACCATCCTGCAGTGGCTAGTGGTATATTCCTGCCCAAGCCTGTCTCACTTGTGTCTTACGAAGTCTTTGGTACCATCAACTCCACCCGCACTTCTTAGATGGAAGTCAGTAGAGTAGTTGTTTCAGAAGAGAGACCCAGATGGTCCTTACTGGAGGTAGTTTAGTGGGTATTGGATAGAAAAACCAACTAATGTCCCCCAGCATCTCCTATCTTTGCACTATTGGCAGGACTTGACTTCTATCAACTTCACCCTGCAGTACAGCTTCTCTCCGAATCTGTCTTACCTCACCTATTCACCCACACAAAGCCTCCCTTTCTCTCGATCCCAAGTTTCTTTCAAGTTTTTTGTATATACTGTACACACGAATAAAGGTAAAAATCATCCAGTCTATGAGCTTATGCATTTTAAATCAAGGCAAGAGTTGTTCCGAAGACCACGGTGACAGCTCTATGTTAAGAGAAGAAACTCGGAGAGCATGGCTGTGACTTATCATGGCACTCCCATGGAGTCATATCATAGGAATGTCCAGCTAACCTGGGTCCAAGTCGGTAGGCACCTTGCGCCAGAGAGGAAATTGATCATGGATGCCAAAACGCAGAGCAAAGTAGTCAAGTGTGCTCAAGGAGAGTGCTGAGTCAGAACCAGAAAGTCATAACTTCCTAGGGAAAGAAAGCCTTGAGGAAAGTCTAGAGATCTGGAATGTGCAGCTAAGGGATTAAAGATATGCAGGTGTGCCTGTTGGTTTTTGTCAGCTTGACACAAACCTTGACATCTCTGGGAAGACAGAATATCAATCGAAAAAAAAAGGGCCTCACCAGACTGGCTTGTAAACAAGTCTATGAGGCATTTTCTTGATTAATGATTGATGTGGGAGGGCCCAGTCCATTGTGGGTGGTGCTGTCCCTGAAAAGGTGGTCTGGGCGGTAAGGAAGCTAGCTGAACAAGCCAGAAGGAGTTAGTCAATAAGCAACCATCCTTCATGGTTTCTGCTTTACTTCCTGCCTCGGCTTCCCTTGATGATAGGTAACCTGTAAGTCAAATAAACCCTTTCCTCCCCGAGTTGCTATTGGTCATGGTGTTTATCACAGCAATAGAGACTTAACTAAAACTGCAGGGAATATAGTATTTCAGGGAGGCAGTCTAGACTAAAGCTGGAGATGACACGGGGAATAAGCAGTGAGGCCGGCTGGCTTGATATAAGGAGCCGGATAAGCAAGACTTTGGCTTCCATGGAAACCAGTGGCCCTTCACATGTGGATATTTGCCTCCAGGCTTGATATTACGATTTGGACTTGCAATGTCCTGCAGAAGTTCATGTTCTCAATACTTGGTGCTAATTAAGAGGCTCTAGATTTGTGAGACAGGCAAAGCCAGAAGTAAGTCAAAGGAGGCCAGGGAGCACACTGGGGTCTACTACACCAGCTTCTCCCTATCATTGTTTCTGGAGCACCATGGCATGAAATGAATTGTTTTCCCACACCTTCCCCATGATGAAGGATTGAATCCTCTCAAACCATGATCCAAAACAGGCCTTTCCTGCCTAAGCTGTTTCTGTTAGATAGTGTGGTCACAGCAAAGAAAAGGAACACCCATGTCCTTCCTCTCCCAGCTCCAAGACTTTCCCTAGAATGGAACCCGTAGCTCCCAGCCATGGATTTTTTTGTTTCATATTATAAAAGTCAACATTTACCACACTAAGGGGTAGGCAAGCCCTGAACTAGGTGTCACACATTACATAGGTAGAGAGAATAGAATATTCATCCTGGCAAAACTCACTAAGAACTAGCCAAGCTATTAAAAAAGGATTGTGAAATATTAATTCTGTAATACCGATGTTTACAAGGTTACCAAAGGAACTCAGAAGAAGAGCAATTGACCCAAGGTTGTAGGAGTGAAGCATGGGTAATGAAGGAATAAAGGGAGGTTGGACCTGGTTCTCCATGGAGTGAGACACAAGAGAAAAGGAGAAATGAAAGAAGTGAAGGAACATATCAAAAACAATCCATACAGCCAGGCACAGTGGCACACGCATTTAATCCCAGCACTCCCAAGGTAGAGGCAGGAGGATATCTATGAGTTTGAAGACAGCCTGATCTACAAAGCAAGTTCCAGGATAGTCAGGGCCATTAAACAGACAAATTCTGTCTCAAACAAACAAACAAACAGTCCACAGAGCAATCTTGAGTCCTTCAGTAGAACCCGAGTCCATGACTCTGAAACCTTGAGCTTGGTCTTCTACCTGGAGGAGGCTCTGTCATTTCCTGAGAACTAAACAAATGAACCTGACTCTGCATTTGGAACAGAGTGTGGGCCATCAAGTCCAAAGGGCGTCACTTCCTATAATATTATCATAGCCTTTAACTTCTCATTATGACTCTCCGGGCAGCTTAATTAATAATTGCTGAGGGAAGAGAGCAAAGCGATAATTAATAGCTATTGGCCAGAGCTATGGCTGACTTAAGAATCTAATTGTGAAATGAGCAAAGCATAGACAGAAAGGGGCACGGGTTCCCACTGCAAGGAAAGGCCTTGGGTACCAGGCACGGGTTCCCACTGCAAGGAAAGGCCTTGGGTACCAGGCATGGGTTCCCACTGCAAGGAAAGGCCTTGGGTACCAGGCATGGGTTCCCACTGCAAGGAAAGGCCTTGGGTACCAGGGACTCTGGGCAGGGGCAGGTGTGTCTTCCTGAGCAGCTATTGGGGAAGGGGTTCTCACAGGAAGATTAATGATCAAACTGAGACTTTGGTAAGAATTGGCTCCTTCACAAAAATCTGCTCATCCTAGAAGCACAAACAGTGACACTGGCCTCCTTATTACCTAGACTGGCAGCACAACACAGTGGTCAGGAAGGCAGCCGAGAAGCCGAGACTAGAGCCACCTACTCAGAGTGCTACGTGTCCAAGGTGCCTCCCGAAGCCCTGGGGCCTTCCAGTGCTTCTGAAACACTATGTATCCACAAGTTTTGGTGACTCTTGTTAATCCTGCTAATCAACACAGCAAAACCCTGTTGTCAGAAAGATGACAACTGCGGGAACGTTTGTACATGAAGAACCTCAGAAACACTTGCATACGGTTATTAGTGATCCCATTGATTTCTGGGCTAACCTGGTATATGTTAGCTTTCATCGCCATTATGACAAAAATGCCGGTCTCTGTGAGGGAGAAAAGACTTAACTTAGCTCAGAGTTTGGGTGGGCTCCCTATTTCTGGGCCTGTGGGAGACAAAACGTGGTGGCAGGAAAATGTGGAGGAAAGGATTTGTCAACTCAGGATGGCCAAGAAGCGGCGGGAAGGGAAGTGGCCAGAAACCAGATATAATAGAGCCTGTAAGGGCATGCTCCCTCCACCAGTGCCCTCCCACCCATGATCTACTTGAGCCAGCTAGGTCCCAACTACTAGCTTCTTCCAGTTCCAAAACCAGTAATCACCACTTGGCACCAGATGGCCATAAAAATGGTTCCATATTTAAACCATAACACTTGTGTAGCTACCTACCCCCCAGTATCCTCATCAAAGACCTTCCTATACTCTGGTCCTTCATACACTTACTCTCTAATACCAGCTGCCTTCACTCCATGAATCAGCTCTTTCCTACTACAACTTAGGTCTTCAACCTCTGGTCTTTGGAATTTCATTACACCCAAACCATGCCATGCCCAGCTGATACTCATTCGTTCTTTTCTAAAAAGAATCTTTTAGAAAAATAAAGGTTTCTTAGCACATTGGGTTGTGTGGTTGTGTGGTTAGTTCATAACTGTTGGAAGTGCTTAGAACACACAGCTCTGAGTCATCAGCGTTAGCTGCCACATCGATGCTGCACCTGACCTCACCCCATCCCAGAAGAGCTCAGAGAACCTCATGAAAGGGGCTGGAAAGAGTGTAAGAGCTGGAGATTGGGGAGGAGTGTTGTGAAATGCATAGCATAGCTATTGCACATGTTAACTCAAAGTGACTGTTATTAACTTGCACAGGGCCTGCCTATGATCAAGATAGTTAAAAAGTCCCTCCATGGATGCGGGGTGGGTGCCAAGAATGACCTGGCTGGGTATCTTCCAGACTGAAGAGCTGGATATTTCTCCAGCCCCTTTTCTTGTGGCAACTGGAAGCTTTGTTCTACACTCTGTGGGAGCATGGGGGTTTCCCTTTGCTCCTCCGAAGCAAAACCCCAAGTCACAAAGAGACTGAAAATCTCTAGAGTAATTCGCAACATGGCTAGAGCGAATTCACCATTACATTGCTGTCAGTGCCCTTTCCTTGTCCCGCTTTTTAACGTCTTTTCCTCATCTATAAGGAGATAGATTAGAAAGGGTGATGCTCAGTTACTGCCCACACTGAACTAACACGACAGTGGGTATGAATCGTTTTCAAACACTGAAGATAGATGAAGGCACAGCTTCTGACAAAGACGAGGCAAACAGGGTGGAGAGACACTGCATTAACTGGGCTTTCCTTACTGTTACAAAACACCTGAGAGAATAGTAAGGAAGGAAGGGCTTACGCTGCTCGCAGCTTCAGCTCATCGTGGTGGGCTGGAGCACAGCTGAGCAACTCATGCCACGGGGGTGGGAAAGCAGAGACCCAGAGAGTGGCTGAGACAAGACCCGTGGCCCAGAGACACACCCGCAATGACTTACTCGCTCCAGATAGGTCGTGCAGACTAAAAGTCTCCATAGTCTCCCAAAACGGCACCAGCAGATGGAACTGAGCTTTTAATACTCGAGCCTTTTAGCCATCATGCCCAAAACAAAACACGCACTCCACTCTCTGATCACACAGAAACACAGACATGCCATGTCTAGAAGAGCCCCCCTCTGGACCAGGCGTGGTTTTCCAGAAGATAGAGCCAGTAACCGCCTAGAGTAAACTCAGACTCAAGCATCATTACAAAGGTTCCTAGAAATGAGAGAGTGGGCCCTTGCAGAAGACAGCTGCCTGCTGAGTGAGTGCATTCTCACTCCTGCACACAGGGGTTGAATGAGATCAAATCACTTTTCCTCAGCCAAAGGAAAGCTTTGGCCAGAGAGAACAGTGACACCACACAGTTCAAATGGCATTGGACAGGTCACAGACACGTTTCACATACAGCCACTCGAACATCGGCACATGACTCAGCAGTACTGTCTTGGGGCAAAGCAGCCATTGGCAATATGTGAACAAACCTGTGTGACTGTGTTTCAATAAAACTTTATAAAAATGGCAGAGAACAAACTGTCTTACATTGCTGCCCTTCGTTATCAAACTTGAGTCTTCTCCAGAAGAAAAGGAAGCTTCCAGTTCAACAGAGGCCACTCACTTGGTGCTCCATGCAGTCCTCATGTTCACCTGGTCCTTTTTCGTCAATGAGAATTGACTTCAGATGTAGGAAATGGAGCAACCCGCGGACTTACACGACAGAGGTCGTTTTTCTCATGTAACAGGAGATACTGCTAGGCAGTTACTGCAGCTATTCAATGTGTATTCCCTCCCTGCTTTCTAGGGCCAGGTCCTCCTCCCCTCCACACTGTCCACATGATGCCTGACCCCCCACCAGTCATGGCTGGCACCGAGTGTGAGAAGAACAAAAGGAAAGGAACAAAAGGTTAGGCCCAAACCATGCTTTCCTTTTTATTTTTATCAGTAAAGCACAAATGTTCCCAGAAGAGGATCTCTCTCTGTCTCTGTCTCTTCTTTCTCTCTCTCTGTCTCTCTTCTCTCTCTCTCTCCGTCTCTTTCCTCTCTCTCCTTTCTCCCTCTCCTCCCCCCCAACATGGGTAGATGCCTATTATTGAAAGAGGGTTCACTTTTACTAGTCAAGCTTCTGGAATAGAAAAAGAGAAAGGTTGAGGGATTGTGAAGCAGGACAAGCCACGCCCCTCTACAGGGCTCAGGAGACAGCCTGGTGATAAGAAGCACACCCTGGGGCAGATGTTCCAACATGCGCCAGCAGGAAGCTGCAATAGCAATCCCTACTGAGGAGGCTGTTTCAGCTGCCTGTTAAGGAAAACCTCAACATCAGGCTGGTGTTTCTAATGAGATTTATTGATGTTGATGTTTCGTTTCTATCAGTTTGGGGCATCTATGTGCCATTTTCCTATTACCAAAACCTGACTTTCCCCTTTCCCCCAAAGAAAATAGAGCAAGGGTTTGGCTACTATAACAAGATAGGCCACACAGGTAAGCACTCTGCCCCATGGAATGCAGCCAGCCACAGACCGCTGAGTGTAAAATGCTGAGGAAGGTAGCTAAGCCCCCAGGGGAAGGGTTACTTTCAACACTAGAAGGCAGTTATCTCCATATCAGGATAACATGGGAACATGAGAGTAACCTTACTGATTACATGTCTAACAAAAGCTGCCCTGCCCTTTCCGGTCTCATCCTGAGGGTGATATGACACATGTCTACAAGCCATCATCTTACAGGCCTGCTCATTTTAGCTCCAGGCATTGCCTCTCTGTAAACACTCTGCTAGTTCAGGCTCTGAGAGCAGCCTTTAAAACCATGGAGGGGTTCTCGAAGTGGGTAAGAGACAGGTCACAGTGAAATCCAGAGTAAGTCAGTTTTCTGGAGGAGCCAGGGAAGAGACTCCCCACCACACTGTCACAGGTGAGAGACAGTTACATCTGAGCTGTGCTTTTATTTTTAGGGGTCTAAAGCCTCACCTGTGGCTCTGGGACTTTTACATGGTGATAATAACTGTAAAATCCCTAGTTTATTTTTCAAAGTGAGCTTAGTAGTACCATTTCACCCAACTTTCACAATGACTGCATCAGGTGGGTAGACCTCCTTGCTCACACTGAAGAGGACTCTTACACAACAATTTCTGAGACTTGGTAGAGCCCTGTGTCTTTGAACCCTGTATCAATGGATTTCCTGTTATTTTCTTGTGAAATACAGAAAATCGATTAATCTCTATTTCCAAGATCTCATCTCCATCCTGACTTCTTATTGCTTTATGAAGGTTTTTGACATGTTTCTTAAGTGCTGTCCTTGTGACCTGACACTATATGCCTGCTTTCCTTTCTATACTGCACAGAAATAGAAGCCTGGGCAGGTTCCACCAACTCCAAATACCTCAGTCAGGTACCAGGACAATAATGCACTGCCCCCCCACACACAAAGACAAACAAGTTGAACTGTTTACTCTTCAGGCGCCAACCCCCCCCCCCCCAGACTAGATAGAGGCCCCCCTCCCCTGGAGGGGATGCCATGCCATGCTTTGTGTGACAGCTCAGTAGAAAAATACAAAGGAGAAAGAGAAGGCAATCCCTGGCAGGTAACAAGAGTAGGTGAACCAGGTTTAGGTACCCTTGCCACGCCCCCCAAAGGCCAGCTAAACTCAGCCCATCCGTGTCTCCACCCTAGAACACACATTCTGAGGCTGGGCGGAATCAGCCCCTCCCAGGCGGCAGGGACTCTCGGCACACTTCCATCCTGGCTGAGCGCTCTGCTGGTAGCTGGTACTGAGCACATCCGGGGCCCTGTCCTTTTGTTTCCATGTGCGGCCGTCCGTTCAGCTGATTAAAATCATCTCTTTGCATACTAAAACTTGTTTTGTTTAAGGACAAACAGTTGGAGACCTGCTTCTGGTGGGGCGGGGGGAGGGGGGAGGCGCGTGCAGCGTGACAGATCACAAGAGAAGCACATGGGCCTTGGGGGGCTGCCAATTTGGCAAGTCCCTGTCACCGAAGAGAGACAGGCACTGGAGCTGTCAGGATTCCAAAAGACATTACCCTGAGCTCCAGGGTGGAGCTGTTTACCAATACCGCGATCTCTCCCCAGATGCAGTTGCTACTGCAGCTAATTAAGAGAACAATTAAGACTAAGGCAATCAGTCAAGTCCACAGACCTCAGTCTTCCTCCCAGCTCGCGATGCTGTGCTGCTCCCAGAGGGCCGAGCCGTACTCAGTCATTCAGAAAATGACAGGAAGGAGTTATTAAATATCTGAAAACCATAAAAACGCAATCCTAGCTGAGGCATCCACCGGAGACCGATGCCCGGCAACTCCAGAAACCTGGCAGGCAGGAATTCACACACTCACAAACAAGATTAATCAAAAGCATCCCAAATCAAAATTTAATTATAAGGCAGGGGTGGGAAAGGTTGTAGCAGCAATTCCTCTTTTGTTTTGTTTATGATTGATCAATACCCCCAGAATCAGCAGATGCATGGCAAAGTCCACAAGGTGTTCTTAGGAAGGAAGTAACGGATTAAATATTGAACCAAACAATTTATCTTCTCTAGGAAGAATTCTCAGATATTCATAAAGGTAAGTCCTACTTGGGGAAGCGGGTTTCATATGCTAGATTGCAGGGTCTCATGGGGGAAAAGTTCAAAAAAACAGGTACACAAACTACTGTGGTAAAACTTCTCCACCCAGCACAGCCAATGGAGGTCCCCCCAAAAAAGTACCCTCAAAAAGAAAGCTATAGAAATGTGTGTTTTTAGCATTCTATATTTAATTTGGTAAGTGTATTACAGAATACTCCAGGGTTTCTCTTATGGGATAAAATACTTAGGGCCGAGCCCCCACACACACACACACACACTGGGCAGTTCTCACAAAATGGTTGGTGATGATGGTAGCGGTGAATTCCTTTAGCTGCCATTTGCTGTAGCTTGCCCAGTCCTGATTCCTAAGTAGAATCTTACTGGCCCTCCTTTGAACTTTATGCAGTGACTATCACCAGTAGTCATTTCACAGACAAAAAAAAAAATTAGAAATTAAGAATCAAGGCCTCTCAAGGCACTGACTGGAAGTACCAAGAGGCTCAGGCTTGAGTTCACAGGGGTGCTCAACTTAGACACTTACACTTACCTTCAAATGAGAGAACATTGTAGATAGAAATGAATTTTCTAGATGGAGACAACTTAACCTTGTCCTCTGGTTACAAACAGCTCAGCTGCCCCCTCATCTTTTAATGTGCTATAAATTCTCTGAGGTTTAAAATCATCTTGTAACTATCAGGATCCTGTTACGTTGTATTAAGCATTTTAAAGTGTCCATTTACTCTGTTTAAGTATCTGAAACATAGCATACTTGGGAAGAGGGTTGACCAAAAGATGCCCCGGCTTTTCTGTTAATGTGATGTCATTACCCAGTGACCAGCACTGACTGCAGGCATCACAGGGGCTTTCCCTGGTAACCACCAGAGCCACCAAGGAACCAAAAGGATATTGGCCATAGGAAAACAGCCAGTTCATTAGGAAGAGGTAAGCTTGAAACAGTTATTGCCTTTGTCTTATGTGTTTAGTTATAAATTTATAGAATTTAATTTTCAGTGTTTGTGGTTAGCAATTATATACAAAACTACATGCATGCATGCATACATACATACATACATACAACCTCTCAGTGGGCCCAGGCCAGGCAGTCCTAGAACATCACAGATCCCTCCACAGAACCTCCATGTGTGTGAATGGGAGCTTTTAAGCAAGCATGTGTATGCACCAATATGACAATAACGGCTAAGTGCTTCATAGACGCACACTCTCAGAGACATGTGTCCAGCAGAGTTTACTGAGGTATCCAAGAACAGGTGTCTCAGGCCCCACCCAAGTGGGCTGTCCCTGGAAAATTCTCTTTTAACCTCCTCAAAATGCCAGTTGTGTGCACAAGCTTTTGTCTGCCCAATAAAAGCCACTGTTGGGAATGACTGGTAATGAAAACTGCCCACATCTATACATAACTGAGAACAGATGGGCTTCTCATTGTTAGCTCTTGACAAGCACAGTTCAATGTCAGAAATGAGCTGGTGAGCTGTAGGTGGGTGATTGGTGGATCATTTCCTTTGCATTCAGAAGCCTCCCCTGACCTTACTTAATAAACTGCATCCAGCATGCAAAGACTGAGTGACCAATGTCTCTCTCTCTCTCTCTCTCTCTCTCTCTCTCTCTCTCTCTCTCTCTCTCTCTCTCTCTCTCTCTCTCATTTAAATCTACTTTTAAGCTAAAGGTGATTCTACCCTTTGACATGTGTAATACCTGCAGGATGATATGCTGCCGTCATTTCCTAATATGAAAAAAGAAAATGCAATCTCCTAGGAACGAAGTTGCGTGGCAGGCTGCATTTCTGTTACAATACTTTAGTGCACCCATGTCACTATTAAAATGTTTAAACTACCACTTCAGATATCCTTCCAGCAAAACTACTACTCTTAAAAGGAATTTGCCCAACTATTATTGCTTTTTCCTTTCCTTGGAGATGAGCAAACAACCAGTCTAAAATCAATTGCTCAGCTCCCCACTGTGGCGAGGAGAAGCAGGTTCAAAACCTTTTCATTAATATTCCAAATTTGAGAAATGTCCACGATGGACAAAAATGGTAAGGAATGGGGGTAGGGAGGCAGAAGGCAATAGTTTCAGGCTCTATATGTTTCCTGAGTAATTCAAAATGATATTATAATGAATTTTTCCAGGCCATTAGTCCAAAATGTTGTCTGATACCTATGACTATTTTGAAAAGGAAAAAGAAATTAAGCAGGAAACGGCCACTGACTTTAGAACGATAGTTGTGCCTTTGTGTGGCAGCCTTTTCATCTCTGCCTGCATTGTACATAGATTCTTTTTAACATCAGAAGAACCACTGGTTCCTAGTTGAAGGTGCAATCTTCGTAGAAAGGATTTTCATACAAAAAAAGGAAAATCAATCTCTCGACTCAAATAGGATCAACTGGCCACCAAAGTTCTTTAAGAATCATCTCTGCCTACTATTCAAAGAAATGTTGAGTAAAAAGTGCAAAAGAAAAAGGATGTTTTCCCCCAGAAAGGAAAGCGTTTCATAGCGGGCAGAGGTGCACCCTCCTCTCCAGTACAGCACAACCGTCTGGTGCTATTTTCCAATGGGCTCTTCAGAAACCGTGCAGAGATGTCAAAAGATGCTAAAGTGGCAGGCTCCACGAAGTCAGGAATGTTCTAACAATTCTCGAGAGATAAAGAAATGTTTCTTTTATTTGTCCCCTTCCTGCAGCGAATACACAGAATCACCCATGCTCCCAAATATTGGGTTTCCAGTTTTCACGCCTCACACACACATCACCTTAGAGTAGGCGATGCAAATTTTACATATTGTAAGCCGACTACTCACTGTTCAGGCAAACCACTAGTAATTTCTGTGTTAGCTGACTATCAATTATTTAAAACCACCCAGTTGCTCTGAAAAGAGTTGTTTCTCGCTTTTAGGCATTTAGAAATCAAAGTGTTTAGAAGTATTTGTAAGTTTTACAAAACAGTAACTCTCTTTGAAAAACACCTCCTGTATATTGTTGAAAACATGGTTTGGTGTAAAATCTGTTTTAATTGACTTCAAAGTTAAATCCATGCAAGTTTCTAGGACAAAAAGGAGCCAAGAGGGAGGAGAAGAGGGAGGGAGGGAGGGAGGGAGGGAGGGAGGGAGGGAGGGAGGGAGGGAGGGAGGGAGGGAGGGAGGGAGGGAGGGAGGGAGGGAATCTTGAAGAGGAATGTTTTGATCATTACCAATTGTGCTTTGGGGGCGTTAGTGAAAACTGTGTATTAGCATATTCGCTGTCCACTTTCTGTCAGGATTTAGCAGGTCCATCCATTCTGCACATTCCTAAGCATAGGTAAGAAATAGCAATGAAGGAAATGTTCAGCAATAGGTGTGCGATTTGACACTCATCTTGTCTCACATGTCAAAATTCCCCGGGTTTCAGTCTCCCGCTATGGTCAAAGTGTGTTTACACTGGGAGAAATTGATGATAGACCCGGGGACTCGGAGATGGGTCAGGCACCAAGTTACTTTTCAATTCTCACCCAGATTATGATCGGGAGTAACCACAAAATGTATTTATAAAAGCTACTTTTATCAAGAACTGGCTTCTCTCCCAAATAATCTTCCTGCTTGGTAGGTGTAATCATCTCTCTTTCACTTTTTATGAACTAAGCACGTTTGGATTTTCCCAGGAACCCACTCTCTCTGCTGCTCTGTCAGCCCTGTGTCTCCCGTGTCTTAGTGTCACTTATCTGAGTCCCCACTCTGAGCCCCTTCTCTGCATGCCAGCATTCTCCGAGCAGTCAGGATGAGTCAACGAAGACATTCTCCTAGATGGTACCACCATGCTTTAATGAAACCCTAAAGCCCTGTTGGCCTCAACTATGTCTTCTGGTAGAGCCTATAAAGATCCTGTTTCTAGATTAGGTCCCTCTCTTGATTTCACATCACCTCAGCCTCCCCAACATCTGGAGACCCAGATAGTAGATGTCTCCCAGTGTCCCCTGTTTTCCTTTAAGGCTACCCCTGAAACAAAGCTGCAAACACCTTTGCTTGTGTTAAGGACTGACCTCTCCAACCTCCTTCACAGGCAGTGTGCTCCTGAAATGAAGTTCTGGCCAGTGGGGATGAACAAAGGCAGCCTGTGTGGCCTCTGGGCTGTGCTCTCGGGAGGAAGAAGAATGAGCTGGCATTCCTCTTTTGTCCTGCACATTGTCTGGAAGGAAACGTGATACTTCAGCTGGGTCGACCACATTAGAGACAGAAGTGGAAACCCAGATGGAAGGCAGCAGAGGCTCTCTACCAGCCCTGCAACTGATGCTTCCAGATGATTGAACAGAAAGCAATGGTGTGTCTTATCTAACCCATTATAGACTAGGGCCTTGGCCACGGCAGTCCAACCATATGCCAGCTACTCCCCAGCATATATGGTCTCCTTAGTTGTGGGATGTGACTGATTGGGACTCAGATTCTGAATCTATTTTTCCTTATAAAACATGGTAAAAGGCAAGAACATTGACTTTTTTTTACTCAAATTCACATTCAAGTTTGAAGCACAACTTAATATGTAACTATAATATGGTAATAGCCATTTTATTAAGTTTCTAAAATAAAGACATTTCATTTTCAAACCTTTCTTTTTCACCGGGTCCCTAACCACAACATTCTATCTTGGTTGGAGGCTGAAAGGTGTGCAGCTAGCTCTGGGGTTCAATTTGGGTGCTCAGCAGAGAGTTCTGTAAGTGCACACTGGTTCCGAACACATGCCTGAAGAACCCTAAACTCACTGTGGAAACAAGGATGCAGCCAGCGGGGAGACATGAAGAAAAGCCATAAGATGTTCTTGATGTCACAAAGCTGTATTTGCTAATATAGATACTTACTGTTCTCCTATCCTCTCTATTATTTTCGATACTTTGTCACTAGATACCACTGAACAACTAGTGTGGGCCAGAGTAGCCTTTGTCATTAGACTCCATTATTGTGTGATCAGTTTTGTGGAAACTGCCAATTCCGAGAAGTTACTTATTTACAGATGGTTTTTGTTTCAAAGTTCAGATCCCCCAGGGACACAGCTACAAGGTTTTCCTTTCTGCCTGCAGCTTCCCTTGATCAGGGTTTTGATGAATATGCGTGTATGCCACACATTTTTCTCACAAGCCATACTAGTTTAGCTGGCTTTCTCATCTAATCCATTGAAAACATTTGAAGTAGCTTTTATCATCCCATGCTTTTAAGAAGCTTCACCTAAGACAAAGTGCAACAATTATATGGGCTGGTGAGTTTTAATATCCGTACACCTAAATAAATACAATCAAAATCGTGACATGCCGCATGTTTGCCCACCACAGAGAGCATCTTTGTGTCCCACATTCCAGGCACTTCTCATCCTCCCCTGGGTGAAATCCATGACCTCAGACAACCACTGACAAACTCTTCCCTAGAAAGCAGAGTTGCCTCATCTGACAGATTACAAAAGGTGGCTGTGTGTGGATTCACCCGTGCTGAGGTGTGTACACATGGTCCCTTCCACACTGTGGCTGAGTGGCAGCATCAGGATTTGTCTATGCATTCTTTAGTTAATGGGCATCTGGTTGGTTATTAGTTTAAGCTTAGTATGAGAAAAACACTATGAAGATTTGTTGGGCTGCAGAGACTGCTCAGGAGTTAAAAGCCCTCGTTGCTCTTGCAGAGGATCCGGGCTCAGTTCCCAGCACCCCATGTCATCTGTAACTGCAGTTTTAGAAGACCTCACATCCTCTTCTAGCCTCCGCAGGCACTAAACATGTGTGGTCACATACACACATGCAAGCAAAACACCTTTAATCCCAGCACTCAGGAGGCAGAGGCAGGCGGATCTCTGTGGGTTCGAGACCATCCTGGTCTACAAGAGCTAGTTCCAGAACAGGCTCCAAAGCCACACAGAGAAACCCTGTTTTTGGGGGGAAAAAAGATAAAAGAAAACAAATCTTTTTTGAAAAACACTTTGAAGATTTGGTATATGTGTGAACACATTTTCATTTTTCTTTGGTAAATATTTATAAGTAGACTTTTGAGATGATGACAGAAGAGTACAAACTGCCTTTTAAAAGAAAACATAACCCTGTTCTGTAAACTTACCAGAACTTGGTATTGTCACCCTTTTGGATTTTGGTTATTCTTGTGGGCCTGTTCTGGCATCTCATTGTAAGTTTATGTTTCCCTGTGACTAATGGCATTGACCTTCTCAAGACCTCAGTAACCATTTTTATGTCATTATTGGGAAGCATCTGTTCAAAGGCCTTGTCTTTTTTATATTAGCTAATTTTATGTACAGAAATGTATTGTATGTGTTCACATCTGTGTGCAGGTATGTGTGTGGGTGCCAGCTGTCTTCTGTTATCACTTGCCTCTTACTCTTTGAGACAGGGTCTCTCACTGTCCCTTGAGCTCACTGGTTCAGCTAGGCTGGTTAGCCAGTCAGCCCCAGGGGTCCTTCTGTCTCTGCTTCCTGGCTTTTGGGATACGGGTATGAGTTGCTACTCCGGGGTTACGGGTATGAGTTGCTACTCCGGGTTTTTTGTTTGTTTGTTTGTTTGTTTGTTTGGTTGGTTGGTTGGTTGGTTGGTTGGTTTTGGTTTTTTGAGACAGAGTTTCTCTGTGGCTTTGGAGCCTGTACTGGAACTTGTAGACCAGATCTGCCTCCCGAGCGCTGGGATTAAAGGCATGTGTGACCACTGCTCACCTGGATCTTTTGCATGAGCCTGGGGCTTGAACTCATGACTCTATGAATTCAAATACTCCACCAAATGAGTTATGTCCCCAGGCCCTGGATTTTGTGTTGTTATTGTTACTGTAAAAGAAGTTAGGCATGGTGGCACATACATGTAATTCAAACATTGGGGAGCAGAGGCAAGAGGAACACCCCCAGTTCAGCCAGCCTGTGCTTCATAGAGAGTTTAGAGCAACCAGGTTTACAAAGTGAGAGCCTATTTCAAGAGTCAAGGGGGAAATTTCAAACATATTAGATACATGGATAAAGACACAATGGTTACTATTGGGGGGTGAAGGAAAAAAATGGGAAGATAGGGTCAAAATAAACAAAACAGCAGGTGTGAACAAGTGTAGGGAGCTGCTGTACAATCTCAAGACAGAGCCAATAAAATTGTATTGGGTTTTATTAAATAATCAGACGTTAGCTATTCTTGTTACACACAAAAAGTAACAATGAAATAAGCATATTAATCTAATTCACTGTAGCAGACATTTTCCTCTGTATATGGATTCTATATCTATGTTGTAAGCCTCGGATACACACAATAAAATTTATATACTGGCAGGAAAACAAAAAGAGGTGAGAATGTCTCAGGTGGAGGACCTGCCTAGCATGTGTGAGGCTCTAGGCCACAAAATAATAAATAAAAAACTTCCATCTCATAAGTCGGACAGGATCTAGCCAGCAGGACAGATTCTGTTGTCACCATTATCTCACCTACAAACGGGAGACAATTACCACAGGTTGGTCACACCCGGGAGACAGGCATTCAGTGCCACTGAGAAAGCCTGCCACTGTCAACAGCTGGAAGGCACTAGCAGCACAGATCTGAAAAGTGGGTTACAAGAAATCTGATCAATGGTGACAGCCCGCACCTCCCAGAAGGCGGAGGGAAAAGGCCCTGGATTTGCCCCACTGCTGGTCTGTGATTGGCATCTGTCACTCGTTGGTCAAACTGACTTGGAAGTCATATAAGCTCAGCCCCCTGGCTGGCCTCTGGTGCTGACACTGATGCATGTTACCGCTTTAAAGTTAAAATTCTTTCTCGGAAAGCCTGTAAGCATTAGTCTGTGAAAGGCGTTAGAGAAGTGAAAACGATAATTAAATCCTATCTCCAGCGAAATTTTATGATGCACTAGCCCCATTCCCTAGAACTATGCTTTTGAAATCGCCATGGCCTTTGGATGCATCTTGTGTATCACCAATATAGAATGTGCTAAAACCAGGCTCTGTTGTCCAATTATTTTTATAACACCGTCCGAATGGATTCTCAATCTAGGTAGCTGTTCACGTGTGCTCAGCTTTCTCACCCGTAAAACAAGAAACGGCAAGGAAAGACGCATGCCACCATGTCCTGGGCTGACGTTTCCCTGGGGCACCAAAGCTAAGCAAGGTGCTAGGAATCAAGACACCAACACTTCTTCTGAGGGACTTAGACCTTTGAACTGGTGTGGCTGCGAGTCTTCAGGGACTGAAAGCTAAGTGGCGGTTTTAATTTTGAATATCCCGGCTACTTGGTGACACCACATTGCCAGCTGTGTGCTGTCCTCATTTCCCTCTCAAGCACTGACAGCAAGTCAGCCACTGGGACTAACGTCAGCTGTGTCCCGCACCACAACGCTAGACGTTGACCAGGAGAGGAATCACAAATCTAGAGTCAATAGTAATGCAGCATTACTGCATTCTCAATTTTGACAAATTTCAATGGTTCTGTAAAAGACTAGTGCTATAAGAAGCTGGATAGAGGATATGCAGTGACCTTCCTCACTCTCAACAGTTTTGCTATAAAGTTATAATATAAAAAATAATTAAAAAGAAAAAACAAACAACATCCCTGATAACGAAAATCAAAATATTTCTTTAGTTTCCAACTTTCCAAAGAAGAAAATGTAAGCCCATCATGCAACAGAGACACAGTTTGGACAAAATAACCATTTGTTTATGATATGTTCCTTCAGGTCAAAGGGAGAATCTGAGGGCTGGGAAGACAGCTCTGTGGTGAAATGCTTGTGACACCCTTGTGAAGACTAGAGTGCAGGCCCAGAAATCCACATAAATAGTGAGTGAGAAGGGCAGCCCACCTGGGGGTCTAGCCCTGGAAGGTGGAGATAGGATCCCAGAGCAATCAGGCTAGCAAGACCAGAATTGATGTCTCAGAGAGTCAGAGAAGAACAACCTAGGATCATTCCAGACATCAACCTCAGGCTTCCAACCCATGCACACGCACGCACGCACACACACACACACACACACACACACACACACACGAAAAATGGGAAAACAAACAAGATTCTGGGTGCACCTGCCACTGTTTGCTTTTGAATTGTGGCTATTGTGGCTTCAGCTGGCTCCCAGAGGAATTAGCCAGGCTTGAAGAGCCGCTGGTGGACTTTTGGTCTTTGCCAATCAATGCAAACAACACACATCGGGGGTTTCATCTCACAATGAGACCAAATATTCTCTAACCCACATTATCCTGTGTATATTCATTTTTTCCCAGTGTGTACCACTTACACTGCAGACTTGCATGCTTACCTTCCTCTCCAAGGATGCCAGTAAACCCTGTAACCCCTATATCTGACAGGACACTGGTCTTTTGTACTCCGGAGGGAAAGACTGACATTTACTCACCTGGCTGGAAGCAGTTATCGCCTACTTGAGAAGGATGTAGTAAGAGACTTCTTCCCAAGTGTGACGGAGATTCAAACACACCAGGAAGGAATAGTGCCACATACCAGAGCCAGCAGAGACAAGAGATGTTCCTACCCCCCACCTGGAGAGTACTTAAGGACCACATACAGAGCATCCCCCCAAGAGTGAATGTCCCTACCTCACTTTGCTCCCTCCTTTGCATCTCTACCTGGGCCTCTTGTGGAG